GGGGGGGGGGGGGGGGAAGAAAGAGCCTCGTTCGTCCACCGGCAAAAGCTTTTATCCGTATTTGCACGAACGAGTCGAACGTCTGCGACTTGCAGCTCGTTAAGTCGAAAATCGTGCTTCCTCCGCGTTCGCGCACCGGAAATATAATACCGCGGCCCCCGGTGTGTACTTTGGGGAATATCCGGTTTCAACCGAACAATCAAAAGGAAAATACACGCACACTGTCGCCGCTGGTGAAACATTGGTTAGGTAACGAAACATCCGAAACTCCGCAGATTGATCGATCGGCGTTGACGAGCGAACACCAAACGCACATGTACGAGGAAATCCAAGTCGCCATTATCTTTCTTCGACGTTTCATCTCGAATCGTCTCAACTCGTGGATAAGACCTCCGGGGATGTGTTATTCGAGCCAATTACGCTTGCCGGCTCATCGAAGCGTCGAAGAGCAAGAAATATATACCTCTCGAACGGGAAGAATTCTTGTCCATCTCCTTCCCCCGAAGAATAATCGCTTTTATCGCCGCGGGACGAGTACGAGCTCTGTGTATATTTGATTTCCACTCGGGCTGTCTGTTTTCAAATTTTCAAACATCCGAAACCTTCCCCCGCGTTTCCCCGGTAGAAAGACTGCACGGGGAAAATGGAAAGTTGTACGCTTTTCGATTGGAAAGGAAAGTGATCGGGAACTTCGATAAAACAGATCGCGACGTTAACCACCCGGTATTCATTTCGTGGATCTTTGGTTCGCGCGTCGGTAAAAAGGGAGAGTGGGGGATAAAAGAAACGAGTCGAAGAAAGACCATAAGCGATATCTGAGTCAGTCTGCCTGCAAACGACGCTAGCCAGGATAAAGAAAAAAGAAAAAAAAAGAAAAAGAAGAGAAAGAAAAAAATTAGCCAATTACGCGAAACGCTGTATTCGAGGGGCTTGTGTCCCCAACCGAGACCTCGCGTTTTATTTCACTCGATTACGAGCAGCCTCCCCCTCCCCCGAAGGGGGAGGGGGGGCGAGAGAGAGATTAAAACGTTAAAAGTGGCGTGAAGCAAAATTTTAGAAATGCAAGAGAGGAGAAACTAGCGACAACATGGTCGCGATGTCAGCCAAACAACACAAATATATATACAAACATACATATATATATATGTATAAAGGAGAAAATAAGTACATAGTGTATGGTATACATACGATATAGATATTTTAATAAGGAAACCGTTCAAAGAGATTTAATATACATATACATATACATATATATATATATACACAGACATGTATAAATATATACAAACCATAGAACGTACATATATAGACGACACTCGATAGCAAAGCGTTGAAGTGATAAACCGTAAACGGGATCCGAAGCGTTGCCAAGTTTCTCGAGATTCGATCGCTGGACGAACGATCGTCACCGATCCGCAAAAAGAGCCATGTCACGTGACCGAAAGATTCCTTTTGTCGCGAGAAAAACGACCGCTATCGACCAACAACAAGAGAAGAAAAAAAAAGAAGAGAGAGAAAAGAGAAGAAGAATGTTCTGTTCCGAACGAGGTGCTTCGTCGCGACGAGGTTGCTTATTCGCGACTCGAAACGAAAAAAAAAAAAAAAAAAAAAAAAAAAATACGTTTTCTGCTACTGAGTACCTGATTCACCTCTTTCAATTTGCTTTCAACGAGCAAGGTGTCGCTCGGTAACATAGCCATTTGCTAACGTGTGTTTAACGTTCGATGTTTAACTAACATTTTCGCTCTGCGCGTCAAACTACAACTACAAACGGAATCGTTCTGTCGTAAAAACACCCTCCCTCCACAACTTCTCCCCTTCTCCCTTTATCAAACCCCCTTCGGAGGAACAACGGCATCGCGAGTCGTCATCGCGCGTCGTTTTTCTCGCGATTTACAGGCGTCGATTCGGCGTCACTCAGAACGCGTCAGACAGAAATCGCTCGACGAGAATCGCAGGCAGACACGAGAATTTCGTCTGTGCGCGAGAGTGCGCGTGTGTGTCGGTGTAGAACTAACGAATGAATGTTACAAACGGTGAGGCGCACGGTGACGCGCGGATTACCGATCGATCGGACATCGGCAATCAAATGTGCTACGCGTACCTCGACGATCGTGCACGTCCAGCAGCGTTTGTCTCAACGAGAATCTATGGAAACGGACGATCTCTCTTCTTCGTGCATTTACTCCAGTTACTCTTCTGTCAGTCTGTTCTATCCGAGAGGCAAGGTCCTCTCAATCCTGCCAAGCAGCGGACTCGCGACGAGAAC